AATCTTGTCTGATAATACCTGAGTTCATCCATTATTTGTTTGTACGAAACATTTAGAATTGAATTCTACCATGTGATTCACTGGTTGGCTGCATTTTTCAATAAGGAGATGGTGGCATTTACTCTTATTTAGAGATTGAATTTTTAATTTTTAACAATCAATTAACTTAACTTACTAATTATTGTCTTTGCCAAAAAAAAAAAAAAAAGAAGAAGAAGCTTCTGGTGAAAGTGGGATTTCTACTTTTTTTAGAATATAGTGGGTTCAAAGAAAGAAACCAAGGAAATTTGTCCTTTTAATTTACAGCGGCTTTTTCCATGGCAAAATATGAGCCATAAATATGGTATATGCTCAGCTCAGCCCAGCCTTGGATGCTTCAGCGTCCTTTTTCTTAGCATTTCTTTTCAGCTTTCGCGGAAAAGATGGTCGTAATAGGAAAGAGTAATAATTGTATTCTAATACTTCTTCTTCTTCTTTTTATTAAACCGTCTATGATTTCGGAGCGAGGGAAATGTTTATAATGTATCAGTGGGGTTGAAACCTCAATTAATAAATTCTAATATTTTAAAGTTTGAAAATGAATTATTAAAATTTAAATTATGATATTATTATATTAAAATTTTTTATTTCTTGCCCTAAATTATACCTGTTAACAAAGAAAAAGAGAGAGAGAGAGAGAGAAGACTAAGTAATAATTGAGTACTGGTTATTCTGTTTTGCTGAAATAAGTCTGAAATATGGTGCAGCCCTCAGCCCTGTTGGGTAGGTTCAAGTACTGCATGCACTGCCTTTCTGATATCATAGAGGATTCCACCATCCAGTGCATATCTTCGGATTGTTACTCCCCCACGTCACTGCCATGAACTATGAAAATCAATTAATTGTGATTTAATTGATAAAAATATTTATTATGTTTTTTTTATTAATATAAATTAATATTTAATTTTTTTAAAATTAATTAAATATAATTTTTTTATAATTTTTGAATTTTAATGTTAATAATTTATTTTAAAAACAAATTAATTTTAAAATATACATAACCGTGACTTAGGGCGACCATTTAGATTTTGACCAAACCGACAATTTTTCTTACTGGTTTAACATGAAAAAAAATCTTTTCCCAAAATTTTAAAGTTAATTTAGTGCACTTAAGTGGAGCATATCACTAGGTCCTTTTGGATGATGCCTTCCTTGCAATTTTTTGAGCGCATTTTCGAAACTTTTAGCATGTGAATCCTTAAAGTAGAGTCAAGGGAGCCTTTAGTTGAGACTTGAGAGGCTGGATAATAGTTATTAGTTGTTGATTTTAATTAAATAATTTATATATTTTAAATTATAAATAATAATTATTAATTATTAACTATCTTAAAATAATTAATCTAAACACCCCTCAAAACTCCATTGTTTAGCTCTCTTTTTTGGTCGTTTTAGGCCCCTGTGTCACTTTCATATCTTTATTTATCGATAATAAAACCACGACTTTAACTCTAATATATTGCAAACAGATGATAAAGCAATTGGCACATACATGTAATGCCAACTTTTGGCGTGGAAAGGAAGAAAAGGCCTCATAAAAGTTCTTCGTCGAGTCACCCTTTTGGTACTAGTTAATTTACCGAAACCGAGATTAGTTAACCTGTTGAATTAACACTTGACACGCGAATTGCACAGAACCTTTCTCTAATTCTTTTGGTTTTTTTATTGAAATAAAGCAAAAGGATGTGACAAAATGTGGTTGTGGATGTGTCGAAATTAGGTAGCAGTGGGGAGTGGGGACAATGGAATTGGGATTTGTGTGGTAAAAGATAGTGAAATGCATGTACCAATCTAGGGTACACAGTTAAACAATCATTTAGAAAGAAGAAAAGGGTAAAAATTTGAATGTTTAATATTTAAAATATTAAAATTTTTATAAATTTATTTAAATATTTTTAATAAAACTTTAATTCTCACATGATGATTTATTAAAAATATTTAAATTTTTTATTTTTTTAATATTTTAATTATCATAATATCTTGATTTTCTATAATTACTAATTATAATATTGGAAAGATGAACATTTACGTAGTCATCCCATTCCAAAAACTCCCTTTAATTAGGACAATTAAGCTCTATTTTTTTATCACATGGCAGCGGTGCCAATTGAATTCTTGCTAGCTTATCCTTTTTAGAGAAAGGATTAGCTTACCATTTTGTTTGTCATTTTATGCATTTTGGGCCAAAAAAGATTGGGCTTATAACCAAAGTTTTTGCAGACTTTTTTTATCTGCCGGTGTTAAAAGTTACTTTTTAGTTTATTATGTATAAGCAGTAATATAGAGATAATTTTTTTTATATAATTTATATATATTATTGAATAAATAAATACATATAATATCATATGTTTTAAATAAATAAAAAATTAATAATTTAAATAATATATAAAATTATATTAAAAATTTACCCCTAAATCATTTTACATTATGTATTGCTACGCCCCATGCCGGGAGCATAAGTGCATCACAAAGTGAGTCTCATAATTGTATAAGACTAAAAACCTATTTAATATAATTATGAAAAATTCATAACTAATAAAAATCTACTAAAATCTATCATAAGAATAAATATCTCAAATAATCTATATTCTAAAGTGAAATAGCTAACCAAATCAAATTATCTATAAAATCCAATATCATCTACATAAATTAGATATCCATGTCTAACAATCCAAAATAGTCAATATCAATCCAATCAGTCCAATAATAATAAATGATCTAGTCAATTAACATGTCACTC